GGAACGGTTCACAAATAAACGTATCCAGGTGTTAGAATGGCCTAGTCAAAGTCCAGACCTGAATCCAATGGAGAATCTGTGGGAAGAGCTGAAAGCTGCTGTTCACTCTCCATCCAGCCTCACTGAGCTCCAGCTGCTAAAGGAAGACAAAAACCAAACGACTGGCAGCTGTAATCACACCACAAGGTGGCGCTATAGAGAGTTAATGCAAGGGGACCAATGATATTGCATGCAGCCCTTTGCAGGTTTTTATTTCTTAAAAAAGTTTAAAATATCCAATAAATTTTGTTCCACCTAACGATTGTGTCCCACTTGTTGATTCTTCACGAAATAATAAAAATTTTAGATTTTTGTTTGAAGCCTGAAAAGCAGCAAAAGGCTGAAAAGTTCAAGGAGGCCGAATACTTTCACAAGGCGCAGTACGCAGCACCGAACCGTACCGCCGTCCGTCCTGCTTCTCCCTTTCTCCAGCAGTCGACAGCGAGAGGCGGGGTCACCCCCACAAGTCCCCAGTCCATCTCAGGTATTTATAATTAGTTATTATTGTTCAACACCTCAGCAGCTGATTGATCAGATTGAATCTTGTAACAAAACCAACAACTAATTGAGGATTTTCCAGAGTTGTTGTCATATTCAGGAAATGCTGAATATGACCTCAGTGACATTTAAAATAAAAATAATTCAACAACTTTATTTATTTCAACGTAGACCAGAGGTGTATACCTCCAGACCCGAATGAAATGTTTTATTGGCCAGCTCCTCCAGAACCGGACAACATTCAGAGAGGGCGGTTCAGCCGTCACATTCACCTGAATTCAAACAGAACAACAGCTAAACTAATGGAATACATTGTGGAATGGGCCTGACCTTACCCGACATGGTGCTCTAATGTACAACCTGACCTGAATGCAACATGGAGTCAAAACAGCCACAGAGAGGAGGAGCTGATCTGTCCCTGAACTCTAAAGAGACTCAAACTTCCTCCTTCAGCTCAGCTCTCCAACATTAACTCTGCTCAACATGCTGTCTCTGCTCACATCTGGATTCTCTCTGCTGGTTCTGATCACTGGATCAGGTTGGTTGGAGTCTTTCAGAGAATAATCTGATCCTTGTTGTTCTTCACTTATATCACTTTTTTCTTCCTTCGGCTGTAAACTGTCAACAACTCACTGCAGGGAAGACTGAGGAGTTCAGTTCAGAGGGCAGCTCTGCTACTGTGTCCTACAATTACTCTAAAGCTGCTGTTTATGATGATTATTTCTTCTGGTATCGACAATATCCTGGAAAACCTCCAGAGTTCCTGATCTCACACACGGGAACAGGAACACAAACATCTCAGCAGCTTCTTGGTTTCTCCTTCAGCGTGAGTGATGATAAAACCCGGATGGATCTGCTGATCTCCTCTGCTGCAGTGACAGACTCTGCTGTGTACTACTGCGCTGTGCAGCCCACAGTGACAGGAAACACCAGAACCCTGGACAAAAACCTGCAGTACTCCACAGCAGCCACTAGAGGGCCTCACTCCCTGTTAAACCACTAAAACCTGCAGTACTCCACAGCAGCCACCAGGGGGCGACATGCTCCAGCAGGCGGCGCTCTCCTTGTGCTCTGTGCTCCAGCATCGTGTCAATAAGAAGTGGTGCTGTGAAGAGAACAGCAGTCAGACTGAATGTTGAACATCAGCTGCTTTCTCCTGCTGGTTTAAACCTTGTTGGACAGATGGAACATTGGCTGTGGATTATTCTGGCTGCTCTTTTCTCTGGTAAGATACAAAGATCAACATGTTTCCTCCACATGGAGGAGAAGTCTGGAAAGCTGCTGATTGTTCTCCTTTAATCAATCATCTCTATTGATCCATCTCTTCCTCTGCATGTTCTGTTCTTCCCCAGAGTGTAAAGGAGACTCAGTGACGCAGACAGAAAGAGAAGTTGTTGCTGCTGCAGGAGAAACTCGGATTCTAGGATGTACCTTTGAAACCAGTGTTTATTCGAATGTTTACCTATTCTGGTATAAACAAGAAGGAAACAGTTCACCAAAGTACATGCTGAAACGATTCTCATCAACACGAGATAATGCTGCAGATTTCAGCAAAGATAGATTTGATGCTGAACTCAACACTGATAAGAAATCAGTCAACCTGACGATCCAGGATCTCCGTCCGTCAGACTCTGCTGTGTACTACTGCGCTCTGCAGCCCACAGTGACAGGAAACACCAGAACCCTGTACAAAAACCTGCAGTACTCCACAGCAGCCACTAGAGGGCCTCATGAACCAGGGTGCAGATCCATAAGTTATAGCTTCTTAAAAAACTTTTAAACTCCTTTAGAAAAACCTGCTGGTCAAAAAAAGCAAAAGTAGAATTTTCAGTTCTAAATGTGCTGAACTCTGAATATGCATTTCACCATAAATGAACTTTGTCCCAAGTATGAACAGTTATGAACACAAAATAAGCTTCAGGGATGTGAAACCAGTGTTTATTCGAATGTTTACCTATTCTGGTATAAGCAAGAATAGGTAAACATTCTTGCTTACCTAGTAAGAATGTTTGCTAGGTAAATAATAGATATAAAATATCTATTATTATTTATTAATAATAGATAATAAATAATCTATTATTTTGATGTTTAGATGTTGCAAAACATCTAAATAATAGATGTTTAGCAAAACATCTATTATTTAGATGTTTTGCTAAATAATAGTTTATTCTAGTTCAGAACAAAAATACAGTGATTTAATTTCCTTACCACTAAATCAAACATCCAACTTGCTCAGCTTTGGGGAAATGGAGGTCCAACGACAGGCTGGCCTGTTTAGATTTCTATACTCCATGTAGTTTAAAAGATATTGAAAGATTTAAGCCAGGGGTGTCCAAACAACGGCCCGCGGGCCAACTGCGGCCCTCGGTCCAGTTTTTATTGGCCCGCAGCAAATTCTGAAAACATAACTGAATATGGCCCGCACAAGAAGCTTGAGCTCAGCTCTGCTGCACTTCTCAGTTTCAACACTAGATGGAGCCAGCCACAGAAACGAAATTAAGAGAAGAAAAACCATTACTGAGTTACCAGAAATGGCAGCACCAAAGAAACACAAAATAGCAAGTGAGTGTAGGAGATTTCAAACACGGTGGGAAAATTAGTATTTTTTCAAAGAAATCAACGGAAAGTGTGTCTGATTTGCAATGAAGATGTTGCTGTGATGAAAGAGTATAATGTCCGTCGGCATTATGAGACCAAACATCAGAGCTACACATCGTACACTGGTGTC